ATTATTATTGTTATTATAATTATTATTATTGTATTATTATATTATTATAAATATTATTATTATTATTATTATTATTATTATTATATTTATTAATTATAATTATATTAATATATTATAAACTATTATTATAATTAATATTCTTATTATTATATTATAATGATAATATTATTATTATATTATAATATTATTATAACTATTATTATATTTTATTATTATGATTTATATTATTATTATTATTATTTGATTGTTATTTTATTATTATTATTATTATTATTATTATTATTGTTATTATTATTATAATATTATTATTATTATATATTATTATATATTATTATTATTATAATTATAATTATCATTATAACTATTATAATTATTATATTTTTATTATTATATATATAATTCTTATTATATTATTATTATAATTATAATTATAATTATTATTATATTATTATTATTATTATTATAATTATTATTATATATTATTATAATTATTATTATTTTTTATTATTATTATTATTATTTTATTATTATATATTATTATTATTATTATAATTATTTTTTTTTTTTTTTTTTTTAATCCCACGGCGTCGACTGCTGAGGTCATTTGCCGTATCCCTCCTCCCATATAGGTCATTAATTCTCACCCAGGGGTAGATCTGGGTGCTTCTTTTCGTTTCAGGGAAAGTCTCAATAGCATATTTGATTTATTTGTGTACGTAATATGTATGTTCCTTTCCATCTTTCAGATATTCCTCAGCAGCTGTTTTGTATTCGTGTACACACATTCGTATTCAGGCAAGATACACAGGTAAGTAAGTACTTTCCTACAACATGTAGTATAGATACTGATCCATATTTGTTTTGTTCCAGGGCATCCCGGATCATAGGTTTCCTATGTGTTGGGTCAATTCGTTAAAAATAAGGTTCGTTCTTCACTTGGAATTACAATTTTCAAATTTTTTTAAATATATTTATCTTCAGGTAATCTAAGACTCGCAGGATGTGGGCCCATCTTTGAAGCACTCGGGTATTGTGTTTGGTATACGATAGCGTTGGCGAGCCTGATAATAGGAAGGACATTCGAGCAGAACGTGTTCTATGGATAGTTGGTTGTTGCATGTTCTGCATCGAGGCGGGGGATTCGCTACGATAAGATGGAGGTGTGTGAGATTTGTATGTCCTATTCGCAAACGCGTTAGGACAACTTGTTCCCGTCTTGATAACGAGGAGGGTAAGTACCACTTGTTGATGTGTTGTTTGTGTACTTTCAATTTATCATTTCCTTGGCTCCAGGTGCGTTGCCATTCATCCAGTATTTTATTTTTCAGGTGTGCTTTGAGATCACTTGGGTGGACAGTGCGGTCTTCTAGTGAAGCTGCCACCTGGGGATTCCGCGCCATTTGGTCCGCAAGTTCGTTGCCACGAATTCCCACGTGTCCTGGTGTCCATACGAAGATGATGTCCTTTCTCCTTAGTTTGAGACCGTGATGTAAGTCTAGCACCATTTGGATCATAGGATCAGTACTGTAGGGTTTTTGAATTGCTTCTAAAGAGCTCTTGGAATCAGAGCATACAAGGTAGGTACCATCTTCTTTATTTTCTATGTACTGCAACGCTTTTATGATTGCGTAAAGTTCTGCATGATAAACGGATGACATCGGGTTTAGGGAGAAGCTTCGGCCATTTTCACCTGTAAATGCACTTCCTACACTATTTTGAGTTTTCGAGCCATCTGTATAGATAGCGGAGTGGTAGTCGTAGGTATTAATTACGTTTAGGAAGGATTGGACAAAGACAGAAGGGTTAGTTTCGCTTTTCTTATTTGAGGAGCATTCAAGAAGTACTTTTGGTTGGGAAATACACCAGGGTGGTGTTCTGGGAAGCCAATAGGGTATACATTTGGAAGGGAATACCCAAGGGTCCTGAGTTGTTCTTGTATTCTTACTCCAATTGGCCTAGTAATAGTTGGTCGATTATGATAAAGCGAG